CCCTTCCAGAGCTGAGATATCGAAACTCAAAAATTCGGCCCGAAAAAAAAACGACAGTGGTACCCCTTACGTTTTTTTTTTTTGGGCGAAAATTAAGTTTTCCAATCTTCCCAAAACTCTGGATTCTGATAGAGGGCCATGAGACTTAGACCTGAGTGCAAAAATGGAGGCTCTAGCCCCTTCCAGAGCTGAGATATCGAAACTCAAAATTCGGCCCGAAAAAAAACGACAGTGGTACCCCTTACGTTTTTTTTTTGGGCGAAAAATTAAGTTTCTCCAATCTCCCAAAACTCTGGATTCTGATAGAGGGCCATGAGACTTAGACCTGAGTGCAAAAATGGAGGCTCTAGCCCTTCCAGAGCTGAGATATCGAAACTCAAAATTTCGGCCCGAAAAAAAAACGACAGTGGTACCCCTTACGTTTTTTTTTTGGGCGAAAAATTAAGTTTCTCCAAATCTTCTCAAAACTCTGGATTCTGATAGAGGGCCATGAGACTTAGACCTGAGTGCAACAATGGAGGCTCTAGACCCTTCCATAGCTGAGATATCGAAACTCAAAATTTCGACCAGAAAAAAACCGACAGTGTTACCCCTTACGTTTTTTTGGGGGGCGAAAAATTACGTTTCTCCAATCTTCCCAAAACTCTGGATTCTGATAGAGGGCCATGAGACTTAGACCTGAGTGCAAAAATTGAGGCTCTAAACCCTTCCATAGCTGAGATATCGAAACTCAAAATTTCGACCAGAAAAAAAACGACAGTGTTACCCCTTACGTTTTTTTGGGGGGCGAAAAATTAAGTTTCCCAAATCTTCTCAAAACTCTGGATTCTGATAGAGGGCCATGAGACTTAGACCTGAGTGCAACAATGGAGGCTCTAGACCCTTCCATAGCTGAGATATCGAAACTCAAAATTTCGACCAGAAAAAAACCGACAGTGTTACCCCTTACGTTTTTTTGGGGGGCGAAAAATTACGTTTCTCCAATCTTCCCAAAACTCTGGATTCTGATAGAGGGCCATGAGACTTAGACCTGAGTGCAAAAATTGAGGCTCTAAACCCTTCCAGAGCTGAGATATTGCAACCCGGTATCATGACAAGACGTGAAATAATCATGTTGGTCCACTTTGGAAAACGCGTAGATGTCACGGTTTAACCTCCTCAAACGTGAAACTTACACGTTTGCCGGACCTATTCTACACGCAATCGCCTCTGCCTTAACCACCTATTGGTCATCCATTACACCGAGAAAAATGGAATTTTGTTTTATTGACGATTAGCCTACTGAGAAATGTTCTATTATTTAAAATGCAAAAAACATTTTTGCATTTTAAAAGGATTGAAAAGGATTCATTTGCCTTGATCCACACCGAATAAAACGTCTAAATGTCACGTTTTTGATGAAGCAGCCTAATTAGTAAAATGTCTATTTTTCCGGCGTCCCCCAGCTCCTCGTTTAAGCAAAAGGTACGCTAAAACAACGTATTACATCGACGTTAAACCACGTTAACCGTGTTAACCATAACCTAAATACTCGACCTAGTTCCCTTGCTTAGCAACGGGAATAAACTCCTGTAACTTAGCGCGGTAAAGTTAGTTTTAGGTCCGAAATATTTCGCCTGACATTTGTTTTCCCTGTTCTAGGGTCTTACAAAGAGATCAATAGCAGGATTGGTTTTAACAAACCATTGTAGCCTATATCGACATTAATATTCGTTCAATCATTAATATTCAAAAATCACTTGCGTGCATGTAATGCAGCATATTTAAATGCTACGTGGGATCTCAATAGCTCAGCTCTGTAAGGGTCTAGAACCTCCATTTTGGCACTCAGGTCTAAGTCTCATGGCCCTCTATCAGAATCCAGAGTTTCGAGAAGATCGGAGATACTCAAAATTTTTAATGGAACTGTAATGGAACTGTACAAACTGTAATGGAAACCATTAAACATATCATTACCAATACAAATTTGTAATGGAAACCATATACAAACCAATACATAATAGAATATGGCCCAAAACACACTACGTAATGGACACCAATTTGTAATGGTTTTAATGGTTAACGGCTGATGGTTTGTAATGGTTTTGTAGTGGAAACCATTACAATTTCTGTAATGGTTTCTATTGTTGTTGTTTTTTTGTTTGTTTTTAGCAGGGAAGGCTCTTCAGTGGTCGTCTAACTTAACTAAGTTAGTCCTGTAAGTTACTCATTGTGGTTTTAATGCAGAACATGTAAAGTGGGACCTTACTATTTCGCCTAAACAAGCTAATCCATTTTGTGAGTCATCATAATAACCCGTTTCTCGTGAAGAATGTGGATGAAGTAGCCTAACTTATTCATCTGATTTGGCTAAGATAAGATAATAGAATCCCAATTGGTATTATCGAAGAAAATACTAAATATCTTTAGGAATCCTATCTTGCTTCCTCCTATCTTATTTCAGGTTAGGAAATCATATCGCTAGCATCAACGTTTCTGTCTAACTTTAGATACCTATTTTGTAACCGATGTCACTTTTTATCTCGCGAGCTTATACGGCTTTTAATGTTTTAATAAAACATACACTGAAAACGGAGAATTAACATCGCAGTCATGTGATTTAATCAGCTTGATTAACATTATTATAATCTATTACTATTTAACACAGATGTTATTTGCTAATTACATAAACTATAAGCTCAATTCATTAGTATAAATATATATTTAGTAGCCTATATAAATATATATTTATAAATATATATTTAGTATAACATTTTTAAGTATATTTGTATGGTCCTCGAATGTGTTCGAATATTTCACCAGTATCAGCCTTTTCACGGTTTATCAATCTGCTTGTCTGTGTTTGCCCAACTTGCATTATTAAGTAAGTCAGTAGGTGGCGACAAGTGACTGTCTTTATGAGTGAACGAACTTTGATTTAACAGATTAGTGCCAAAAACATTGATTAGCTAACCTTAGAAAGAAACCAATCTTTAATGCTAATATATAAATTGCTCATTTTCGTCTGGACACAAAAAGATTGCACTGGTGTTTGATTGAAATTCATAGATGCAAAATAATCCTTGAAAGATTTCTCATTAAGGCCATTCCTGTTAGGAATATGGATTGTGTATTGAAGAAGAAACATTCTGCATTTGCATCCAAGCGTGGATCATTCATTTCAACATTTATCCTCATTCTCATATTTAAGAATCTGTCATCTTTTATGCTACTGCCAGTGCCAGTGCCCACTGATATGCTTTTAAAGCTATTGTTATACCATTTTTATGACCTTCAAATACCTTAAAATGCACACATGTAGGTCTGAGAAATCCAAATTTTCTCGGGGGAGGATTGCCCCCGAACCCCCCTAACTTCCTCACCCTTGAATGTGTATGACTGTGCTGGGCTGGTGTGTCAGTGATTATTTTTTCTTAACCAGTCTGCCGCTGCATAATAGGCCTGCAATATGCATTATTGTATCGAATCATGCTATCTTATTCCCCACCCCAGTCCCTGATGTTTCGGGTTCAGCCCCTGATGTTTTTGAAACCTAGAAACGCCCCTGGGCCCCAGTAAATTAGATAACTCTTCATGCCTCTCATCGGCCTCTTATCGTTCATGACTCCTTATTCTAATGAATAGAACTCTAATGAAGCCACAAACAACAATGGCAGTCAAGCCCTAAAGCTCTCTCTCTCTCTCTCTCTCTCTCTCTCTCTCTCTCTCTCTCTCTCTCTCTCTCTCTCTCTCTCTCTCTCTCTCTCTCTCTCTCTCTCTCTCTCTCTCTCTCTCTCTCTCAATTCAATTCAATTCAATTCAGAAAGCTTTATTGGCATGACAAAAAATACATTTTGTATTGCCAAAGCGTCAAAACAACATAGAAAATGATTTGGAACATTTAGTACACAAAATATTAAAACTGATATCATAAAACAATAATAATAAAATGAACAGATTAATAAATACAATAAAATGGATTTAGAAATCATCTATATATATATATATATATATATACATAAAAAAGAACAATATTGAACATTATATACATGTGTGTAGGTCTTAGGCTGTGAGAGAGTGTGTGTTTAGTGTATGTTTGCTGGTTTCTCTCTCTCTCTCTCTCTCTCTCTCTCTCTCTCTCTCTCTCTCTCTCTCTCCCTCTGGTGCGCTGAAACTCAAGCGTGCTGTGTAACCATAGTAACCATGGTAAATTTGATCTGCTTGAACATTTTAATCGTCTTTAATACATTATTCCCACGGATAGATTAAAATACCGAACGTATTTTTTTAAATAAATACAAAATTATTAAAATGTAATAATAATGATCAATTATCAATTATCTATTGATCTCAATATATATATATATATATATATATATTTTTTTTTTTTTTTTTTTTGAGATCCGGGGCTATAAAAAACATCCGGGGCTGAAGCCCCGAATGCCCATGTCCAGAGCCATGCCATCATTGCCATGTCTAACGACGCGCCTGGTTTTCAGAATCAAAGCCCGTCTCTGTCAGAACACTCTCCCTGAAATCCCACCCCCAAGATATTCCAGCAAACCGGATGTTCGCAAAGCGGCAAATGATTAAAACAGATAGTGCGTTTCTGATTGGCTAAAAACGGCGGCAACCCTTTTTGTGTGTGTGTGGGTGGGTGTTTGATTTTTTACAGGCTATGGTTAGAGACGTGCAATCTCAAGCCATTTAGCTATAACTGTCAGACAATGGGTGTGTTTTACGTTATTCAACTAATGTCTTTTAAAAAAACAAAAACAAAGATAGGCTAAAACACTTAATATGTTACTTCAGCAACTCATAACTGGAATTATTGTATCCATGTGTTATTTAGCTATACAGTAATATAGCTTAAATGATTTGGATATGTCACATTACATTCAGAGTTTCACACAAACACAACTTGTTTTTGTTTAATTTAACTCGTTCATCCTTCGCGGTTGCGCACTCCAGTACAGTAGGAGGCGCTGTGCCATGAACCGTCTGCGCCGAGCGAGAGACGAGGAAGAACAGGCATTGCCTTTCAAATAATCACAGTCGCCCGCCCACTGTCCGATGCTGTTTGCATCGAAAATATTGTCGAATGCATGAAAAAGATCATCTCTGCTGTTGTGAAAGCGCTTTACGAGTAAGGTGCGTTGTGTTTCGAATATTTGCCGATTTTTTATATCGAACGAATGAAAGCCGTGTCTTTTTCCATTGAAAAGTTGTCTTAGTCGGGTTAGCAGGCTGCTAACAAAAATCGCCAGTGCCTCACATTTTACCTGGAACTACAAAAGCTCGCGGGCTTCACTGTACATGATGGCAGCCAGTCTACAGCATCCGCTCTTTTATGCGTGTCATACTGCATGAAATCGTGTGTATTTTGAAAGAATTCGCACACGTTTTGCGTTATTTCTCAATATATTTTTAAAAACAAGTAATATGTTGTAGCCAATATTTTTTGGGGAATATGTAAGATGTCGCGTTATAAAGCGATGCATTTTTTTCCTGCTGTAATAAAGATGTCAATTTGCATCCATTAAGCATGCATGAAGTACGCTAGTAACGCGCTTGAACTTCTTTAGCGTGTTCTGCTGTGAATACTGTGATGATGGGTTTTTTCTATTGTCTTGTATCTTAAAACAACGCTGCAAACGATACGGTCAGTTTTAAATAAACTGCTCCCAAAATTATATATAAAAATAAAATCACCAATGCACATCATACCCCTTTCATTCTTATAAAATATTTTTTTCAGTTAGGGCATTTCTATATATAAATACCTGTGTATATTTAATATTAACGTAGACATTTTGCTCTTTGATTCTCAGCTAAAGTTCTCCATTTCATTTGGTTGATAAATATAATTTTATTCCTCGTTTTACTACGAATACTTTAAATTGCTTTTTTGCTATAATATAAATACACTGATGATATTCACATTATAATATATGAATTCAGTGAAGTTGTACAATGACTCCACAAACAAGTGCAGCCATGTCCAAATAATGTTATTTAAAATCATATATTTTAAATAAATACAGTTCTCTAATAACTTTCAAATGTGCTTTTTCTTTCATTCCGTTCATTTTCATCTAGCTAGGTCTGCAGTAAATTATTTATTTTCTAAGATAAAGTTTGAAAAAACAAAAATAAAGTAGGTTCATTGAGGTTGTGTATGAAACTTCAGATTTTCCCCTGTGAAATAGAGGGTTAAAAATATCCTTAATTTGTGTTGTCATACGTTAGCACAAAAATATATTTTTTAATGGAACTGGTCAATTCTGGAATTGGAGGGAAAACAATATCTTCATGTAAAATCCATTTTTTCGTCTCTCCTCTTGTTGTTTTCAGAATCTCAGCACCTAATAGACAAGTGTGGCACTGATACGCCTGAAGTTGGGAGCGAGAAGCAACGCCGTGATGGAGGTTGAGAATAAAGAAGGATCTGATAGCCCTCTGCCCAACGGCAGCACCCATCCACCAAAACGCGGAAGAGGCAGACCACGAGGGTCGCTCAATAAGAAGTTCACTGTTGAGAAAGCGCCGACACACAATGCCCGGCCATCGAAAAAGGTGGACTTCTTTTCCCCTGACATAGTCCTAAAGAACAAGGTGAAGAAACGTGGTCGGCCAAAGAAGATAAAAATGCCCGGTAGGCCGAGAAAGATCCCTCTCACGCCCGAGGAAGAATCAGAGAGACTTAACAGGTTGAGTTTACAACGCAAGCGAAAACTGTCAAAGCCCCTCGGAAGACCCCGCATTCATCCCATCGCAGAAGGCCCCAAAGAAAAAAGGGGAAGAGGAAGACCTCGCAAATCTGGCGACGTGGCTAAGCAAAGCAGTGGCGAAATCACCCTCGACGCTAATGGATCTCCAGCTAAAAAGAGAGGGAGGCCGATGGGCACAATAAAGCGGAAGAGGGGTCGGCCCGCAGGTTCCACCAAGATTTCAATTGCCAAGTCCTCAGATGGGACCCCAAAAAGGAGAGGCCGCCCTCCAGGCTCGCCCAACAAGGTGAAGAAGATTCCGCGGGCTGACGGAACCCCCCGAAAGAGAGGCCGACCCCCAGGCTCCGGCACCAAACCGAAGATCATTCGACGGAACGCAGACGGCACTCCTCGAAAGAGGGGCCGACCTCCAGGTTCTGGAAAGAAAGTCAAGATTGTCGAAAAGAAAGTCGGAGATGTTCCCCGCAAGAGAGGTCGGCCACCTGGTTCAGGCAAAATCAAGGCTCGCACCTCAGAAGGTGGAGATGCAGAAGGGGCTCCACGCCGTAAGAGAGGACGTCCGAGCAAAGTCAGACTGGCTGTCATGCTCGAAAAACTCCCCTCGGAGTCACCGGAGGGAGAAGAAGAGGAGACCGACGCGCCCTCTCCCAAACAGTCCCGCACCTCCGACGACTCGTCGCAAAATCAGAACGATGAAGAAGAGACCAGGGCGAGCGAGAACGACGCAGACCCAGAAGACGAAGATGACGCCATCGATTGTTCAAAAGTGAACAATAGTAGTGAGAACGAGATGGTGGGCAAATTCAAAAAAAAGAAATAAGGAGATGGGTGGGGGGGGCTTCATTAAAAAAAAATTGGTGGGTATATTTTTCGAAGGGTTTTAATAGGCTATGTCAATAATGTTTTTGCAATTTTTTTTTTTTTTTTTTTTTTAAATCTGATAATTGTGCTTTTGGTGTTGCCTGCCATGCCAGATTGTATTGTTTTTTTTTTCCTCTTTGTTTTTTTAAGCTCATTATTAACCGAAATGTTTGCTCACAATGAGATGAAGCACAGTCGATTTTATTGTTATTAATATTATTATTTTTTTGCATGGGAAAAAAATTGCGAAATTTTGAAGCATGCAAAATCGAAGGACAAGTATGTAGCCTGTTAACATCACGGGATCCTAAAAGATGATGCACAATTAACGGTTCCATTGAAAACGTTACCATGCTAAGCGTCAACCTTATTTGCTACCAATGGTTTGTGCCAACAGTTTACCAAACCAGACTGTTTCAGATGCAGTGTCTTCATACCTGTACAGTAGTCCGTGTGCACAGGCTCTTAAACCCAAGGCCAATTCTTTGAATCTTTTCATTTAAATCGCCCAGATGGTTTTAATTTGGCGTAGTAAGTGGCTGTGGAAAAATCTGGGGTTTTGACAGTTAAGGGCGTCTTTGCTGTAGTTTTATTTCTTTTATCATCGTTCATACTTTAAATCTGTACGACCAACCCCGCCGAGTTCAGTGTTTTATAGTGAAACAGTCTTCATTTTCTACTTTTTATCATGATAGTTTGGTCATTTATAGGCGTCAAGTGCTTAGTTTACTGCACCCCCTCATTTTTGCTCAAATATCGTGATTGCCTTTGTTTTTCAAAATGTGAATACATTCATATTCTGCTTTTAAGTCTTCATGGATCCTGATTTTTCATTTTCATATGTATGGCTTTTTATATCCAACTTTTTCTCATTTAACCAGTTTTTTTTTCTCCTCTTGATTTGCTTAGTTTGTGTAAAAACCCTATAGACTTGTTATAAACTGTAGATCTTGTCTTGATTAATTTTCATGTATTATTTAGTTTTAATCTGTATGTACCAGTAGATGCTGAAAACAGATTGTTTTAGCGAAAGTGTTTTCATGTTAATAAAACCTGTTACAGTGATGACATGATGGTTCAATAGACATTTCATGTACACGCTTTCTAATTAGGTTACCCATCTGTGCTGTAGTACGAGACATTTCTGTATCGCCGCTTTGTATGAATCATTTCACTTTGTGATTTGGATGAGCATTGTTGCTGATTAATAACCAATTAAATCATACCATATTCACCAAGCCTTGTGACTTTCATTCATGTTTTGCATGCGAGCTGATCCGACGCTCAACTCAATAAAAACTACAGACGGGGAGGAGCAAGTAACAGCATCAGCACTTTATTAGAATCAGCACATGGTGGGCAAGCAGACATGCTTTAAAATGAACCACGAGTTAGCAGCTTAGCTCAAAATGATCAGGGGCAGGGTGTTATTTTATGCAGCTCTGCAGCACATATTTACAAATGAATAGTTTGCATAAAACACAATGTATTCAGGGGTTTTTAGTTTGCTTTTTTTTAAGAGAATGACATTCACTGCCCTGTATTAGGTTTGCAATTTGGGTTAATGCTTAATGTAGGGGATGTTATTCACACAGATGGTACACATCAATAAGAGCAAATATTCTTAGATTTAGGTGCTGGACAATATGTCCTTAATACCCCCCCAAAAAAAGTCCTCTCAAACTTACAATCATTATAACGAAGGTGGTTAAAGTGCCCATGTATATTTAACACAAACACATGCAGAGGTACATCCCTGAACATTGTCGTCTCCAGTGCTGATTACGTATCCGCTTCCCACACTGAAACCCAAATATTTACAAAGACGTTAATTAAATTAGTCTCATTATCAGTTATCTTCCAAGTTTGCATATCAGTAGTTGTTCATTCAACCTAACATCACGGCGCCAGTAAAGTCAGGAGAAGTTTAACACTCATTTTTTCTTTTATCGGTCACATTTTGTTTAGACGTGGACCACGCTGTCACACAAATCTCAAATATAGAAATATTAATAAATAAAAAATAGAACATAGTAAAAATCTCAAACCAAATTTCAATCACATTTTCTTTATATTGTGGCCACAGCTAAAATCTTAAATCTCCATATTGATGTTGTTCCATTGATATTACGTTTTTGTTGGTTCCTCCAGACTCCACTAATCTGGCTGACATGAACAGTCCATCGAAGAGCGAAAGTGTCGATTTATGGTCAGATATTCCCCTTAAGTCGGCTGCAGACTCGTACAACTTGCCGAAATGTGAAAATTAATTATAAAATTGCACCATCCAAGAACTGTTTAACATTATGATATGGATGGAAATATCCTATCTTTAAGACATTTAATACAAATGGTAACTGCTCTATTTAAAATCATTCAGGTTTTTAAAGGAAATCAGCTGTTAGGAATCTATATGATGGAGGAGGGATAAAACAATTAATGATTTTTTTTTTTTACTTCCTGTAACTTCTCATTGCAGTTGCACTTTGTTAATACCGTAATGATACCACAACAGTTGTTTCTGGGTAAACTAGTTCACTTTTCTTTTGTTTTTTTGTGCATGACTTGTTCCTAAACTCAAATTGATCTTTGTGTTTCGTTCTCCCTCTTTAGTTATTCATGGGTTCATTTGGACAACGCTAGAAACCTATATTATTGCATCACCCATTGTTTTTGCCTTGAAAATGACCAACACCATTCTCCAATCCAAAACCGTATGTAGATCGTCCTAACTGACAGAGTTTTTGAGTAAGCTCGGGCACTGTTGCAAAGCACTCAAGAGAGGTACAAAGAAATGCAGTGACAGACAAAGGGAGGGAGAGGCACTGCGTCAATGACTGCACACACACACTCTTACACACGGTGGATTCAATGAAAGGCATTGGTGGGGAGAAAGGGGGGGTGGGGGGTGGTGGAGTTCACACAAAGCCATAGTCTCCTGTCCTTGTGTGTCCCACGAGAGGCTCAGTAGTAGAAGTACACTAAAAAAAAGACAAGAAAAGAGAAATAAATAATTGAAATGTGTTAGTTCAGGCTGATTCAGAATATCATTATATAAATCTCATTTATAAGACGTGCATACACACAGAGCGTGCGTATGCTAAAGATTTATAGAAACGGTTTGACGCGGAAAAGTGCTTAGCCTTAGCGCCACGTCACGTTTTAAGCAGGCGTACACCCTTTTCCTTGTGGTATTTGGAAACCTAAGCAATTCCTGCCGCTTCTGAGGTAAAGCATTTGGACGTTGCTCATTTATATGCAAATTACATTAATTAGGGGCCGTTTACAAAGCGGAGACCTGAAACCGTTCAGCTGTGCACAATTTCAAGATCATTTGCGATTTATAGATTTCCCATCTGGAAGAGTTTTTTAGTGCGTGCGTTCGCGTCTCTGAATCACACATACACATTTGAGAGATGATCTTAGTTAGATCCAATGTAGGATGGTTTCAAGGCTACATTTTATAAGTGATCTTAATAAGATCAGTATTTCAGTATTCAGCTGCAACACAAGATAGTAGTTACATAGTTCTTAATCCCAGATCAAAATGGAAGATGGCAAAACATCTTATGCTGGGAGTAAAAGAAAATAAAGTGTTTGTAAATCAGCCAACGGTGGTGTTTGTGGAATTATATTATAGTTGCTACTTACTGAAAAGGATGCCCACCAAGATGACCCCAATAATTCCCATCATGATCATCATCTGTGAAAAAATAAAATAAAAATAAAAATAGGGAAATGCATTTAAATTCTAAATATGCTATTTAAATACAATACAATTTTGCATATCTTTTTGCAGAGGGATAAGACATTAGAAGTTTATACTTTATTTTAAGGTGTGCTTGTTACAGTGTAGTTATATATTAATATAAGTTTAATTAACTACGTGTACTTACTGTAGAGGTAGGGTTAGGATCAGGGATTGGTTACGGTTGGTTGCATGTAATTATGCATAATTTACTGTTATTCCTATAATAAGTACATGTAACGTGTAACAAGGACACTGTAAAATAAATTGTAACCCATTAGAATTATAAAACGAAGATGATTTAAGAATAAAATATTTTTAATCAAACAATTAACTGTTCGGCTACAATAAAATAAAGAAATAAAATAAAGAAATAATATTAATAATATTAATATCAAATCAAGGAAATAATATTCAAATTGTAATATACATTTAGTTTCTTTTAAATATTTCATTTGTTTTTCAGACACTTATTTAGAATATTAATTTGAGTACATTAGATTAAAAAAGACATGTCCCTATATCAGTGATCTAATCTAATATAAATTTAGATTAGATTATGAATCTTTTATTTATCCAGCAGTTTACATCTACTCATAAATACAGTGACAGAGAAGAGTAATTTTTCCGTTTATGAATCATAGGCACATTTTTGATTGATTCCTTAACTGGTTTTATTTTATCTTTGAAAAGTGTACGATACTAAAACACTTTAAAACATCTTTCCATTTTCCCTTTTTCTAGTTACATTTTTCTATTTCTTACAGAGAAAAATACTTTTGGGAAACGTATGCCAAGCTATACTCTACATAAAACGGTTTTAAGCTTTTTTTTTTTTTAAATTATTTTGCATACAGCTTTTAATATTAACAGAGAACATGGAATATTTAGACTTTTCACTTTTAATTTATCACACCGCAGGACAATTAAAAAAATGCAATTTAATAAATATATAAATAAAAGACATCAACATTTCTCCCTCACAAGGATGTGCTCCACTAAAAACACAGAGAAAAGTTACAAAAAGAAAGGCTTCAGTGAGAGTAATGCACAAAGGAGAGAGAATAATAAAGCAATCTGGTTTGGAAAGGCGGGACGAGACGAGCGAGATTAAAAGTGTGACGTTTCCGTAAAAAGAGGAGGATCTGCGGATACGGAATAAGACAGGGATATGGGAAAGTGAATGAGAGAGGAGGAGCGAAAGGGAAAAATTAGAGCAGGTTACATCACAAATCACATCTGGGTTTTAATCCAGAAATGCTGTAATCCAAATTGGGACTAGAAGCCCCCTCCCCCACCCCGCTCAGAGACGCGATTGGACGGGCAGCTGTTCGGCCATCTGGGGCGGGAGGTGGGGGGTTGGTGGAAGGGAGCTATAAATTTATTCTATCTGGAGGGGTGGAGAATGAGGGGGAGCTTATAAATCTATGCCGAAGGAATGGATTGACAGATAGCTGGATGGAGAGAAAAAAAAGTAATATGTAAAGTGAGGCTGACAGAGGACCAAAGCAGGCTCGTACAAGAGGTCACATCTCTATTTAAAACAAGGCAATGGAAGTTAGGAAATGAAATTATAATATGAATCTTCTATTTATAAGCAGAAAATATTTAAATATTTAGATCCAAGTCATGATCCAAAAAAAGCTGATTAATGGGGGTTTATTAATACGGGTAAATTGATGGTAAGTTCCTGATCGTCTCAGGAGTGGCTGGACTCGTTGTGCTACTGCAGTATCTAAACTTGCGTCACAACCTAATATATCTCGAACGCTGGCCAGCGCTGTGACTTATGGGCCGGGCTGCATTCAGGTTATATAGAAATGAGAACGCTCTTGCTCTAGTGTTGAGTCAGCTGAGCCATCTTTACTGCTGGCAATATAGAAACACCAAAGCAAACGAGGAACTGTTTATTTTATTAGTTTAAATCAATAGCAGTTATTGATGCTAAACTAGGTTAATCCATAGGTTAGTCTAATGTAATCATTTATAATCTTATCTAGTATTACAAGTGAACTAAACATTTAAAGCCAATAGGCCTTCTTCAATAAATTTCTGTGTAAATACCGTTTTTTTTTTAGTAGTTTTTTGCTTTCATTTTAAATTTAGTTCACGTTTTAGTAATTGTGTTGTGTCATTTTTCACTGTAAAAAAATATTGTTGGTTTAACTTAAAAAATTAAGTAACCTGGTTGCCTTAAAATGGTAAGTTGATTGAACTGGAAAAAGTGAGTTAATACAATGAAGGAGATTGATTTAATCATCAGAAACTCAAAATAATAAGTTATCTGAACTAAATAAATTATTTAAGTTGATTTGACAAAAGAAAAAATGTTGTGATAACAAATCTTGAAAAAAATTTTTACAGTGTAGTTGTATTTATATTAGTACATCAAGGTAAACTAAATGTAAATGGGAACCGTTGACTAGTCAATCTGCTGAAAAAAAATTATTTCAAAGAACATTTTTTATGGTTTTAGTTTAGTTTACGTTAACCCGGATCCTTCGCTAACCTCTTATGTTTGCCGCATTGAAGTGAACGTGACAGCTTACATAACAGTTTACAAATACATTTTGCTTATGTTTCATGAATGAGGTCAAATCTGTATTTACTGATTTAATTCTAACCGTGAATGTATATAGATATCTTAAAATGATTTAAATAAAATGGGACTTGAGGTCAAGGTCTCCAGATGTAAATAAACAGACCCAAGCGGCTACATTTTCCAGAGCGCACCTTAGCATTCTTCCACCAGTACTTGTTTTTCAGTTTAGCAGCGCTGCTCTCAAACTGTGATGCTCCGGCCTGCAGCGCATCCGCCCGGTCGTCCAGTTCTGAGAGCTTCTGATCTCTTTCAAGAACCTTGTCCACATTCACACGCATGATATCAACCACCTGAACACATTTACAGAAGTCAGACACAGACATCAGCAGTCAGCAACATTGCATGGCATCAGAGATTCACTGTGATACTGAAAGTCATTTTGAATGGAAATTTCTTTATGTCTTCATAGGCACTAAACATTGAAAGCAGTATAGAATGAATATTGTATGAGAGTCTGGCTAGTAGCTCCAAATTTGACTTCATGAAATGTTTATGGTTCCAAGAAAGTCCTACTAATAGTCCATCTCTCTGACTCCCTCACTGCTACAATCGACAGTTTTACTAATACATAATGTCATGTCCATGTCCTTTACTCAAGGTCCAACATGTATGCCCACTGTGCCGAATACTGCGTCTCAGTTTTATTTATTATAACAATTTCAGTGTTTTTTTATTTCTACATGTTACTCTTTTTTTGAAAATTCACCTCATCCTACTTGTTCAGTATCTTATTTGAGGTCACATTGATAGGGTTTACCTCATCCACTTGGGCCTGTGTCTGTTGGAGACGACGGTTGCTGGTGAGATTGGGAGGTGCGGCAGGTGCGCCCCCCTCACCCTCTGGGGCTCCAGGGTTTGCAGCAGCATCCGGGGCAGACCTGATGGAAGAGAAGACAGGGGTTGAGAAGACATATTTTTGGCCTTTCTCTGCACCACTGGCTCTGCAAAGGGCTCATTCAGAGACTTGTAAAATGTTCACTCATTTCAAACAAATTTTAGGCTACAATCCTAAATGTCATGTCATTAATTTGAATTGGGCCTCTATTCAGTAGGTCATGATGCGATAATTTAAAGCTCATTGATTTAAGCCTAGATGTGACAGTGACATTGGAAAAGACATTGTCAATGAAATGTGTAATAAAAAAAAATGCTTTATGGGCCTACAAGTTGTATTTTTATTTACAGGCCTACATTTGTATCACATTTAGCATTAAAAAAAGCTTTATACGTTCAAGTGTGCTAAATAAAAGTTGTGAGGGGTTCTGGGTCTAATTGAGGCTCCCAAACGAAAAAAGAAAACCATTTTAATCGAGAAAAAAACGCGAAGCTAGTCAGAATATGCTAAATAAACAGCACACGTAAACAGAGGTCGTGTTCACGTCTGGAGGTAAACACCGAAACAGAAGTTGCTCGAGCACTTTTATAGTATTAGCATTGGATGTATATCGATAAATACACAAACCACAATAATTAACTTTAGTGTTTTATTTAAAACGCACTGAATTTGAAGATTAGGCCTATGTGCATGAGATAGGCCTAACTGTCTTATACGGGGCTAAAAGTCAATTTGGGTTGCACGAGACGAACATCTAGCATCATCGGATAGCCAAAATCGCACAGCTGAATGTAGATAAGTTTTATGTATAGGCGGCCCTGCTCTGTACGACCCTTATTTAACAGCATTCTCGATGCAATTTCCCATAAATTCCGATAGATGGAGCAAAGCACTAAAGTCTTGGCAAATTATGATGTATCAGCTGTAAAATCTGAGAGATTTTGCGGCGTTTTAACGAACTGTCTTGAAAATAACCTTAGACGCTGAATTACATTTGCTAAATGTAAGAGAGAATACAAACACACACACAACGTTTTAATACCCAAACTGTAGGCTATAACCTATATCGCAGGCATAAAACGTGATTTAAAAACAAAAATTCAAAAATACTGAGTTTTTGTTTTAAGTTTATTAGTTTAAATACAGTGGAAATACAGTGCACTCACATTTTGTTGGCAGGTGCTTAATAAATCAGATCGTCGTCACCGAGATGCGGAGAGAGAGAGAGAGAGACAGAGAGAGGATTAGTAGCCTAGTCAAAAGCCAAACTTCCTGTATTGACGATGAAAACATACATAAGGAAGAAAAAACCCATGTAGGCTACCCCTCGCAATAAACCCTATATCAGTACTGTATATTCCCATGACGATGGAATCATGAAGCGATGTCTAGACCGCGTCATCACAAAAAGTGCTGCATTACCGAAAGAGCCTCAGGCGACCAAAGCCTCGAAACACAAATCCAATCTTCTGTATGAAGAGCTTCCTTTAGTTTTTTCACACCGGGTGCGACTATATGTCCTCCAGAGAGCACGTAGGCTATAGAAAAATCATACGCAGTCAAGAGATGACTTGATTAATATGACAGGATTTAACTTTTGTTAGGCTGTTAGAAATAGCAGTAAACCAAGAGACATAAGCATGATAAACGCTTCTCTAGAACAGATTAAAACGGCCAGGACGAAAAAAAATAATAGTCCTCTCGTGTCCGCATGAAAGTGTAGCCTATGTATGCCTGAGTGAGAGAGAAGGGGAGGGGATGAGAGAGAGAGAGAGAGAGAGAGAGAGAGAGAGAGAGAGAGAGAGAGAGAGATCACGATCACTTTCAGTTCTCTCTCTCTCTCTCTCTCTCTCACACACACACACACACACACACACTCCCGCCCCTCTCGGTTACGTTAACGGGACAGCACTGCGGTGGTTGAGCACAGGGTAGCTACTTCCAACCCCCTTCACACAGGCCTGGGATTTTAACAGTAGGCTACCCATTTTCCTGTGCCTCTCCTCCCTTGAAAGGGAGGAGAGGCACAGGAAAATGGGTGTATGTTTTAGTAAAGACCACCATCATCTTCATCGGGGATGCACTGGAGCTTTCTTATTGCATCTAACATTATCTGCACATCTGATCACAGGTCACTGACAACTTATGCAATGCTTGATTCATTTATGGATGTGAATAATGCAAGTGTACAAATCCTTCTGAGCAATGATAAGAGGCGAGATATCTCAAAAATCTTTTTTTTTTTAAATGCAATATATCTAAATAATCATTATGCTAAAAGCTCTTCAGGTAGATACTATAGGTTATTATTAGTATTGGCAGCATAAGCAGCAAACAGAAGCAGTGCAGCCAATAACAAAGCTCAGCAAAATGGCAGAGACAGTCTGGTCGCTGTGGAAACAGCATCACTGTAATGACTGCTGAGCTCACAATCAATGAGACATATTCAGCCCTGTGTCCAAACTATGGTCAAAGAGCTGATCACTAAACTATGACTCAGACAATCAATATAAAGATTTGGAAACAGATTCTGTGGGACAATAGTAGAAATGCTGTTTTTCCCAGCGTGGATAAATCATGAGTTTCGGTGCAAGTCTAATTTTTTGATTCAGGATTATGTGAAACTATACACGTATACCGCATGGTGACTAATGTAGGCCTATACTGAATAAAACATCTTTTTATTGTTGTTGCCATAAACATCAGGATTTCCACAAAAATACACTGTAAAAAAATATTTTCATGGTTTGTAATCACATCATTTTTTCTTTTGTCAAATCAACTTAAATAATTTATTTTGTTCAGATAACATAATATTTTAAGTTGCAGATGATTAAATCAATCTCCTTCATTGTATTAACTCAATTTTTCCATTTCAATGAACTTAAAATTTTAAGGCAGCCAGGTTGCTTAATTTTTTTAAGTTAAATCAACAATATATTTTTTTTTTTTACAGAAGCAGCACAACTATTTTTAACAGGAGTTTTTGAAGACAGGAGTTATGATTTATCATCACAGGATTAAATTGTGTAAATTTCACAAAAATACTGTTTTTACTATATTTTTGATGAAATAAAGGCAGCCTTGGAGCACATAAGAGAATTATTGGTGACCAGAAACCAATTTGCCGTTCAAAATGTTGGTTTCTTAATGTGTGTTTGAATAATAATGCAATAATGCAGTTATACATTATACAACAACATATCAGCACAGGCAACAGCTACAAATTTACCGAAAAATATTCTTCCCCTTATGATTTAATTAATAATAAGTACACTGTAAAAATGAATACACTTTATCTAATCAATAAAATTGTGGCAACAGATTACAAGCAATATTATTAATTAAATTGAACAAATTAGAATTGAGTAAGGTCCAAGTTTGATTAGATAAAGCGTATTCATTTTTACAGTTTAAGAAAAAAAATACTTCATGCAAACAAGAATGAACGAGCAACGTTTGCATTAAAATAATTTATTTTCAGCTTGTCCACTTCAGTATCTGTACACAGTTTTTCATTTTCTTATTCGACGTCAGATATCTAGACCGAGAACAATTTCATTTTTGTTTAATAAATAGTAGTCTAATTGCACAAAAAACATTCCTAAACCATCTGGACAGTTTAGAAGCCCTTTTTGCCTCAAACAACCAACACATTTTGATTTGTTCCTGTTCTTTGGGTGATAAAATCTCCCTCTTACATACCGTTCATTGCACACTATAGTAATCATGATTATACATTTCTCCTTTATTATCCACTTAATTTAACATCATATTACAAACTGAGAGTTTGGACCATGTGAGCCCATGCTCTTCGATTGTAATAAAAGGCATAATATGACTTTGTTCAGTATGGACTCCCTTACATTCATGTTAAAGCTACACTGTGTAACTCTTTTAGTTTATTCTTAGCTAAAAACACTTAGTTCTTTCAAAAACAGGCCTATATGTGCTCATTAATGTATATTTACTTCATTCAAGTAATAAAGTATTCTTGTGAGTGTGTAATATGCCATTGAAAATACATACGGGTAAGGGGTTCTAATGTTGGTCGCCATGTTGTCCCTCCATCTTGAAAGTACATTAGCCAAAGAGGGACATACCCGTTAATTCAAGCTTCGCCTTTCGCGTTCACGTTTGAGTTAACACTCATGGTCGAGGTCGAACTGGAAGCCATGTTAATCTTGGACTACATTGGCCACCGTAGGAGTTAAAACGAAATCGAAATTGAGAGGAACAGAAACTAATATTCACAGGATGTCATATACCCTTTCACCGCTAGATGGGGGTAAAAATCACACAGTGTAGCTTTAACAAACGGTCCAACTGCTGCATGAGATGGCATTACTGTATAGGCTATGGCTGAGTTATCACAGAAGAAGCTCTATTGATTCAATGGTTTACATCTACAAGAACATATCTAGTACATGTTGCTGCTATTGAGATTTAAAAGTTAAGCAGACAGACATTATTACCATTATTATGAAGGTTGTGAAGCAGATATGTGTCAAACTTCTCGTCAAGTGTAAATACAAAAGACTTTCAAAACCAGCCGGTCTACATTCAAAATTCTCTCAGGCACCTTTATACACAAACATGTTAGTTAAGCCTTTCTTTTACAGTTGGTTCCACCAGTAATTCTCAGTAAAGCACTGAAAATTTGAGAAATAGAAGGAAAAACACAAGGTAAAGCAAACATGAGGAGAGCAAAATCTTTTTTTAAAAAACATACTGCCAGCATATTGACTCATAATTAGCCTATTTATAAAGTTTGTTGGAGATTACATAATAATAAGGTGAATCCAGTTTATTTTAAATGAAACTTAAGTGAAACGAACTGAACTCAGTTCAGTCTTGAATTGTTTGGTATATCAAAAACCCTCTTTTTTCAAGTAAGTCATTAAACAAGCAAACATACAAATAAATAAATAAGTAGATAATAGCTTAGCAGAGAGGAATAATGTGCCTCAGCAGCACTTAACATGTTAAGTCATCACTTAAGAATAAGTGCATAATGACTCATTGCATATTCATTTTTTTCATTATTATTTGCTCTGAATTCACTTGCTTTTTAATTTTTTTTACCCAGATGCACTTTATGAATGATCTTTGTAATCTGTTTTTGTAACCCTGGCCCTCATTGAGTGAATCTAATGAAATTCACTTTATTTGACTAATGCTAATGCAACTGAATGGCTAACGACATTCACTGAGGCTAAGCGATCAAGGGCATGTTACAATATGTAATGATACAATGCTAAAGATTTGGATGCCTTCAACCTAGAAACACAATCAAATAACAAGTGATTAGTCATCTGGCCTTCACCCACAGTACAAAAACCATAAATGAAAACAGACACCCACACACTTCAATGTTCAGTGCGAAATTCTGCTCTCAAAATCATCGCCATTTAGAGCTGCGAAAAGTTGACAGCAGACCTATTTAAATATCACTTATCATATCGCTGGCATTACTGGTTGTTGATGCAGAAACTGCTAAGTGCTTGTTCAGAGATTAATAACTTTGAGTGTTCAAGGTTAAAAAACCTATACCGTTGTGATTGATAAAAAAAATATTTTTGTCAAAAGTGCCTTGTGATTAATGCTGGGGTGAGTCATTACTATACAATATTTTAGTAATAGTTCATTTAGTAAAATTTTCTTATTAGGAAAATTATTAATCTTTGATAATGTTCATTTCAAAATTTACTATTACTTTATTAAAATCTGGTTGACATTAGTGCACTGTGAACTAACATCAACAAACAATGATTTAAACTAACGTTAACAAAGATCAACAAATACAGTAACAAATGCTCATGGTTAGTTTATGTAGTTAATACATGTTAACTTATTGTAAAGTGTTACCTTGTTTTGTTTTTTTGGTTACCCTAAATGACATCATTCTCCATGACATGACTATTTTTTAACAAGAAAACAAAAATATAACAAATGGATCTGTGTGGTATTGATTTTTCTAAATTTAACATATCAAATCATGTTGGAATTGGCATAATAAATCAAAATCAAAAGCACATCAGCTCTCCATCTTGTTAATATTTGCCACTATGTAAATATTAGAGCCTAAGTATAACCAAAACTTTTTAAAATGACAAATTATAAAAGTTACTACACAGCAGGAATAATCTGCAGACAAAAAAAAAAAAAAAAAACTGTAAATAAAATGATGTCATCAAAAAAGAGTGTTATGTTTTTGGCCAGAATTATATGGTACTTCATACTTAAAAAATTTTTATGGCCATTAACTGTGTATTCCATTAGAGGGCACTAGTGAAACCACACAAGGTTACTTGCCTTTCAGAGGGTAACTAACCCGTGAGTCTTGCTGCAGCATCACAGTCTCTATTGTGAAACGATATATTTATAATCGCAGCTATTACTGAGAAATATATCAGGCCTTCTTCAATGAGTGGTCCGGGACAGAAGAGTTTGACTGCATGTCACAACACGGTTCAGCGCTGTCAGGATTTGCCGCAGTTGCTTTTTTCCTCTCCTTCTCTGCATTCTCTCCCTCCTCCACAGCAGCCGGAACAAGAAGAGGGGATTTACTGTGAAGGAAATGAGGGACAACAGTGGGTGGCTTCACCCTCCATAGTAAGCAACAAAAGGTGAAGGGGTCAAAAACAACATGAGAACGCACTTTCACATTATCTTTTAAGGCCAAAGATGCCACTGTTACAGTCACAATGGTTTACACTATCACTTGCAGCCAACTTCAAATCTTTAAACATCATTTTAGGAACACAAACCACTTTTCGAATTAAAAAGGAAAGAACCATAAGACCCCAGTGGTGAAAATCAAGTTTTTTGACTCAATGTTGTATATGCTGTGCAAATGAGTATTTTCTCCTTAAAACTGCAATGTATCAGAAACAATCTTAAAAACACAGTTTGAAACCGTCCCTGTTTCTTACTGGCTTATACATATAACCAATCCCGTCAACTTGTGGAGCGGGGCGTTTCTCCACTTACTTCTATTATGATGTTGAAAGCGTTTTTAAGAATGTTGATTTTAAAAAAAGCAGCTGTCTGACTCTGAAATGGTGAAAGGGAACATGGTTTGTGTAACATTAGCAACATATTAGCCGTTTGATAACATATTCGGGGGTGGTGATGGCACAGTGGATAAGACACACACATGCCTTTGGTGTGAGAGACCCGGGTTCGAATCCACTGTGAGACACCAATGTGTCCCTGAGCAAGACACTTAACCCCTAGCGACCTCTGACATATATAGCAATTGTAAGTCGCTTTGGGTAAAAGCGTCAGCTAAATGAATAAATGTAAATGTATTCAAGACGATGGCTAATCATATCAATTACTGTTCGACGTTGAAGAGAGCAATACATAAAACGCTAGTCTGGATGCCAGCCAAACTAAGCCCCGCCCACAACATTTGAGGTCGGGAAGTTTGGTCTGGACTTGATCCGTTGTGAAGCAAGTATGCCCGAACTAAAGTAGTGCGGACAAATCAAACTGTCAGGGCGGGCTTCATACGATGATGGACAGATGATCGACCGTAAAGCAATCATCCACGTCACCAAGGGTGCTTGGGTTGAATTAATTGAATTCGAATGGCTGCCACTGGAGAATTTAGATGTGTAGATTCCGCAATCGCGTCTATTATTGAAGCATTAATTTTAAAAGAGAAACAGAGAACCGCGATCAAGGCATTTGTCAATCCAATTGAGTGCAGAGGCATTTTCTTTCCTGGTTGAAACCTGCCCCATAATACTGACTAGAATCGGAGTATGACGACGTCAGGCTAATAAAACGCATTATCATTCTGATAAATTCACAAGCCTCAATAATTCACTCTTCCTCTTCTTCTTCTGAATCAATTTCTAGTTCAAACTTACTGAATGAAACCAATATTAACACTTGCCATTGTGGTAACTAACTGGGACTAATTTGCATACTTATGGTTCTGCGTATAATAAATGAAGCAAGGGTATAGAGTTGTGTCGGCGAAACGATGTGTTTTTGTAAGAAAAAGAACCATATTTATGACTTTAAAAACTGTAATGACTGGCTTCTGGTAACGGCCGTACACGAGTCGAATTCCAGCCAATGAGTGACCTCTGACCTGACGCATCATGTATTGATGAACACGGAAGCAAAGAGGATAGAGCAAAACAAAACACTGCTAACACAACTAAGCGTACGGTACTCTTATATCATGCGCCACTCTTCTGCTGGGTCTAGACTTGCAGGCTTTACTCCCTCCCATTATACACTCCCAAGATTGGAAAAACCAAAGTCATGTACCTATGGCTTGAGGGTGAGTAAATTATGGGCTAATTTTAATTTTTGGGTGAACTAACCCTTTAAGGCATGAAGGAGTCGTTTACACAGGGAAAGAAGAGTTTTATGAGATAAAATGATTAAATTCAGGTTGACCTGAAAACTTTAAAAATGCTTTGAAATATTTTTTAAATCTAAAAAAATGCTAAAAAAATCAAAGCCATGTGTCTAACCAAGTTGTGCTCCAAATTTGATGTGGTTGATGAGGTTTTAAAGTAGAAAATCGGCAACTGATGAAAGGATGAATTTTGAGTGTTTCAAATGGTATCTCATTTATGATAATTAGTAAAATAAAACATGTGATGGGGTAAAAGGGCAATAAAAGGGGCACTGACAGTTAACCGGCTACATAAAATGTGCTTAAATCCACGTTTTAACTTCTTTATTAGAAAAACAAATCGAATGTACAGTGCAACATAATCAATAATCATAAACAAGGGTTTAAATGTGTCTTCTTTTTTTTAACAAAAACACATTTATTTAATTCGCAGCTGTTTTCTCTACAGAACCAGAGTATGTTTGCCAGTATTTTTTTTTAATTCACATATATGGCAAAAGCTTGCGCAAATTTACGATAAGTGGTCCGGAATGAGAAGTTCTGATGCAGAGCAAAGACTCTTGGTAAAAAAAATTGTCCGTTAATTAAACCTTACAAAAACGTAGAAGTAAAAAAAAAAGGCAGTTTGAAGTAGTTGAACCTGAACCTACAACATGACTATCATGACTAGTCTTCTTTCGAAGTCCTTGTTTGTGTGTCTATGTGTCTGTACTCTTATGGTTTATGACACAAATGTGTAATGACATGGGTTTTACAATGTAAACATGGTACAATGTAAACATTATGTTTCCTGTGACCTCATAAATCAAATGGCTTAAAAAGGATTCTGCAATGGGTAGTTTAGTTTGTACAATACAAAAAAATCATTAAGCCTATAGAGATTCCCCATTCAAGAATGTGTCAGTATATGAGTGTGTGTTTATGTTCGTACCTGTCTCCTGTCTGAGTGATTAGTCGTCTGCAGGTCTCCATTTGAACATCCAGCCCTCTTTTCATGCTGCACATCTCCATATACTCATGCAAATGCCTGTTCATATCAGACTTAGCAGTTGCCAATTCCAACTACAGGTACAGACAAACACAAAACACACTTAAAGTAATAGAAAGACAAGCAGAGGGCACAAGGACAATCTCTTTACCTCAATTTGGTCAATGGTATCTTGATAATCCTTCTCGCGGGACTTGAAAAGGCACTCTGTGTCCTTTATCACCTTCTCTATGGACTCGTCTTGCTGTGTGAGATGGGGTGAATAAGCAAAGACATTTTTTTTTGGAGATGTCTTGTAGCTTTCTAAACATGATGGAAATCAATTCAGTTAAAATGGTGACTCAGTGTTCGTTTTTCTCATTCGCTTGCCGTTTATAGCAAAACTGATGAGCCAACAAAAACCATTAAGCTGTATTAGGCCTAGTGTGAGCGTTTTCATATTATGCTTGTATTACGGGTATTTTCTGTGTGCCTGCTCGAAACATTTAGACGGAAAAACATATCAATAGGTCAAAAATAAAGCTATATTAGACTGAATAATGTATAAATCTTTTTTTTTTAAAACAACACCAGAAGATAACTGCTTTTTACTGCAATACTGTAGTTATCTATCTATTCTGTAGCTTCATGAGATTTGATGAATTGGTTTAATAAATATTATGCAAATTATGCAACTTAAATTTTATATTTGGATGTCTGCATGTTTGTTTTTTCCAGGTTTAATTGGATTCATTTCCTACGCAGTAGAAAAATTATATGATCAATCAGTCATAACAACATGTTTTTACATTAAATTACTCATCCAAATAAGTTAAGCAATTTTCAAGTTTCAACTCAATTTTTGAAGTCAGTTTAATATAATTTCATATACAGCCAAGGTGACTGTACTTAGAAATTTAAGACAGCAACTTTTTTTTCTACAGTGTATATAATTCATTTCCAAAGTCCATGACTGGAAAAACGAATAAAAGATGGATGTACCTCTCCTTGGTTCTCAACACTGAAGGTGTATCCAGGAAAATCTTCCCAGAGTAACAGAGTTTCCTCCGTCTCTTCCCACGCAAGACTGTCGCAGTCATCCTCAAACTCACATTCGCGTCTGAAGCATAAAAACAAACACTCCTTCTCTCAAAAGATTTGAAATCAATCTTTAAAAAAATGTCAGATGTTCAATGGTGCATCTTACAATTGATTGAGCATCCTCTGCATCTCCTCATTGATCTGATTGGCTGATGAGCAACACAGATCCACCTCCTTATTCCCGCTTTCCTCACTTTCAGAGATGCTTACTGGTTCATCGCTCTCGTTCCCTCTGATTGTCTGTGATGCTGGTTTCCGAGGACGGCGAGTCAAGGTTGACGGAGGTGTGGCTACTTGCTGGAAAACAGTAATATGAATAAAAATCTTCAGTGTCACATGACACGATCCTTCAGAAATCATTCAAATATGCTGATTTGGTGCTCAAGAAACATTTCTTTTTATTATCAATCTTGAAAACAGTTTTGTGGAAACCATGATAGATTATTATCAGGATTCTTTGATGAATAGAAAGTTTAAAAGAACAGCATTTATTTTTTTTAAAACTTTAAACAATGATAAACACACACATAAAAGTGCACTGCTGATGATGAAAGACAAACCTGAAAGATCTGAATCATGTCTTCACAATTTCTCTGCTGCGCTACATCACACAGACGAGCCGTGATGTCAATCCTGCGACAGATATCCATGTCCACTTTCATGGCCTTCTCTTGGATCTTACTGTCCAAATCTGAGTGATTCTAAAGGAGAGAAAGGCAATGAAAGAGAATAAAGGAGGATATTTTTGAATTTGTCTAATTAAATTGGAATGGACAAGTAAAGAGGATCAATTACAGTACTCAGCTAAGACATTTGTGGGACACCGTTTGAACGGACTCAGCATTATTTGTGCTTCTATTGAAATAAACGATATTGACTAAATGACTTTCGGAGGTATTTTTGAGGTCAGGTCACGTGAATATTGTGCTTAACTCACATTGCTCATGAGGCCTTTGAACAGAACCAGCTCTGCTTTAAGCTGCTTAACCCTAAGAGCAAGTTCATCCTGGCACACCTCACTCTCCTGCAGGTCCTGCAACACAAGTGTCATCAGATAGAGTGTAGACAGTGGAAAATAACGTTTGATTAGCCTATTAGTTTAATTCATTTAAATATGAAAATTGATTTGGTCTTACTTCTTCAAGCTCAGCAACTTTTTCCTCAAGATCCATCCGCATTGTGTATTCCTCTTCCCATCTAGAATAATTAATAAGACGAGAGAATTGGCCAATCACACAATCAAAACCAATTATATCATGTCAGGTCTCAAATATGATAATCATCGTATTTGAGAATCTATTTCTCATCTATCTATCTATCTATCTATCTATCTATCTATCTATCTATCTATCTATCTATCTATCTATCTATCTATCTATCTATCTATCTATTAATTTGTAAATAAATAAATACATAAATTGTGTTCAATTTTATTAAAATGTTAAATTATAATATATTTTTTATTTATATAGCGTCTTTCCAATTAACATCTAAGGTCACTTTACAAAGATAGCTTAAAGTGGACATAGGCCTCATTTCCAAGTTAGCCTTAGTATTAAAGGGGTCATGAACTGGCTTTTTAATTTTTTTTATATTGTTGTCTGAGTTCAACTTATGATGTTCGCTTGGTTTTTACATTAAAAAAACATCAAAATGAATAAGTAAAAGGCTATTTTCGACCCCGGTTTTGAGCCCAGCTCAAAAACGCTCAGTTTTTATGGGCGTCTCGCATTGAAGACTTGAAAGTAAACACCCACTGCTGTGAGTGGTTAACAGTTTTGCATATTATAATGAGTTTCACTCTCGACCCGGTTTGTCATCACGAGGTAGGCCTATGTTATTTAGCTATTCGTGTAATGCGCGAATCGGTGGGCGGGGCTAAACGGCCGTGTTGAAGTAGTCTGCGGGGGTGGTGTTTTATCCTCTGTCGTCATAGTTCCCCACTTTGAAAAACGAGTCGTTTGCTAAGCCTGGTGTCAATAAAAGCTTTTATTGGACTAACAAGTACGTTTTCAGTTCTGAAACTTACAGGATATTCTAATAATATGATGACCTCTTACGATTTCAAAAGCTCAAGGAAAATTTGATTTCTCAGTTCATCACCCCTTTAAGAGGCAGTTTTCAAAATTTTTCATCCAGTCGTTCCAGTTGTATAGTTTGCCGGTGCTAAGCTAGTGCGAGTCAATGGTTACTGCTAGCCTGCCATTAAAAACAGTTCTACCCACTCCACAGTACACCAAAAGCAAATAAATTATAACGCCAGACTATGGACGTAAATGTCTGTTGAGAGAATAATGTTAAAAATCAAACTACTCTTGCATCTCAATGATCGCAATACATTTACAGGAACTAGTTTCTCAGCAGCGGCGGAATTTTACTTTGCTCTGGCTAGTAGTACTGTGCCGAAAAGTAAACACAGAACCGAAGCGCACTACAGTCGGAACTACCTCTCTCGGTTGCCTAGGTAACTACATATCACTTCGCCGCTCCTGTAGACTGTGCTAATAAATACAGGGAACAAAGTATAACTATTGCAATGCAATGAAATGGTAGTTTGATTTTTAACATTATTCTCTCAACAGACATTTACGTCGATAGTCTGGCGTTATAATTTATTTGCTTTCGGTGTACTGTGGAGTGGGTAAAACTGTTTTTAATGGCAGGCTAGCAGTAACCATTGACTCGCGCTAGCCTAGCACCGACTTTACAAAAAGTAATATACAGAAGTCGCTTGCAAAATATACAAACAAAGAAGGATTCAAACAAATAAAATATCCATAACAGGGTACAATTTACAGACTGAGAGCTGAAGAGTAACATTCAGAGAAAAAAAAAAAGAGATTTTTAAGAGGTTTTTGAAGGAGAGAAGGGTAGATGCTTGATGGATTGTCTTGAGGAAGAGCATTCCACAACCTAGGAACCACAACACTGAAAGACCTGACTAAACCAGACTAAACTTAGGGGTGACTAACAATCCTGCACTAGAAGAGCTCAAGTAACCAACAGGAGCATAAGGCTGAAGTAAGTCAGATAAGTAAGTAGGACCAAGGTTATGGAGAGCTTTAGCGAGGATTAGTACCTTGAAGTTTATACGCAAGGAAACCGGAAGCCAAATGAAGGTGATAGAGGATTGAAGTGATGTGCTCATTCATTCTTTCTTGTGTGAGTGATCAAGCGGGCTGCAGAGTTTTTTGAACACATTGTTTCAGCATCCTGCTGTGTAATGGTCACCAGCTGGAGGGCCCTTGAGAGCCACCAGAGGGCACTCCACATCAGACTATTGTCATTCCCTCACAAACTACATTTCCCATAACCCGTGTCTGTGCCCTTAAACCATGTCCACTCATTCATTCCCTGCAAAGTCTTGTTTAGTGTTTCTACTGCAATTCTGAGCATTCTCTCTATTGGCCCCGTGTTTTTTTTGCCTCCCTTTTTGGATCCTCAACCTTCGTGTCTCAAAGCAGTATGTGACATGCTGACTGAGAGAAGATCGAATATGAGAGATATTACGTAGGTGGAAAAAAAAGCTGTCTTTACCACTTTACCGATGTCATCATTAAATAAAAGAGTGGAATCAATGAGAACACCAAGATTTCGAACTGTCGTAAGGGCATTATCAAGTCATCATCCATTTTACATACAACAGATTTAGAGCTGACCTCTGTTTTACCCAAGTTAAATTTGAAGTAATTTGTCTCAAGCCAAAGCTTGAGTTCCTTGACGCAAGTTGCTAATGTAGGAAAAACTGAGGTACTACTTTCTTTCAAGTGAAGTGTGTAATTTCTGTGACTTAAAGGAATACTTCACTTTAAAAAAATGCTTTTTCTGATAATTTACTCACCCCCATGTCATCCAAGATGTCTTTCTTTCTTCAGTTGACAAGAAATTAAGGTTTTTGATGAAAACATTACAGGATTTTCTCCATATAATGGACTTCATTAGGCACCAAACGGTTCAAGGTCTAAAAGAGAGTTTCAGTGCAGCTTCAAAGGGCTTTAAACAACACCAGATGATGAGTATGGATGTCTTAACCAGCGAAACGATCGGCTATTTCAAAAATAAATAAAAAAGTTTTATAAGCTCAAATGCTCGCCTTGCTCTGTTCTGTGATGTGCGTTCATGACTCTCCTGTTCGAAATCATTCATCAAACTGAACAAATCTTTTTTCGAGTCATATGGTTCATTCAACGAACAAAATGAACGAAATGACTCAAAAAAAGATTTGTTCATAATCTAATAGTTCATTCAGCCCTAATAGTTGATAATGCAATGTTTTCATCAAAAACCTTCATTTCTTTTCGACAGAAAAAGAAAGACGTGGACATCTTGGATGACATGGGGGTGAGTAAAGGATTAGTTCACTTTTAAAAAAAACTTTTGCTGATAATTTAATCAGGTTTAATGCCAGATTTAATTTGATGTCCATTTACTGCAATGTATCAAACTAAATAATCAAAGAAAATATCAAACAAATCTGTGTGTAATTCAACCTAAAACTTAGCTTAGTTATACATAGCATATAAAGATTAAAAAATTAAAAAAATAATTTTAAAAAATGTGTAAAAAAAAAAAAAAATCTGTCTGTCTGTACAACGCTACAAAAACAAACATGAAATTCTACACTTCCACACAGTATAAAACGCAACCACCAGCAAAGATCAAATTAATCTCCAGGGATATCTCATGTAACATGACCCAACAGTTTGGGTCTATAGTACAGTGTTCAAGTAGTATATCATCCCCTTTTTTGTCCCATTTGTGTCACCAGACTATCCAGGGACTCTCCAGAGACAGGAAGTGCAGTACAGTTCTCTCATACACACACACACACACACACACCTCCTCGGTTTTAGTCCATAACTGCAGTATCACTGCAGATGGTAGAGCAGGTGATTTATGTTAGTGTAACACTGAAATAACATCCAAATAACTTTCTTCTTAACACACCAACAAATACACTTACAGCTGAATCAGCAATTCCAGAAACCAGGTGCCACTGAATCACATATACAACTAAAATCAATACGAAAACATCACAGAAAAACATACAACAAAGGGGTTCTTGAGAAGTGAACCTGACTGTGCTATTTTGGCTGATACTCAGTATCTCTGGCAGCTGGTGGAAGTCTAGGGAGGCTGAACAGGAAGTAAGAGAGAGATTGTTAAATGATTCTCTATTGGCATGCTGGCAGTAGCACTCAGTTCAGTACTGCATTGCAGATGCTGGGGTGCAGAGGGGAGGAGGCTGAAGACGGAATGAGAGAGATGGAGAGACTCATCGGGAGGGAGGGTTATACAGCGGATTGACTCAAACTCCATGTTATTGTCCATGTCATGTATTGTTCTGACTGAAACCCTCCTAAAATTATAATTTAATGCTAATTAGCATTATTCATATGTTAGAATATTAATGCTTTAAATTTAAACCTCTATTCTATTAACAAATTCTATTAAATAATATGATATAGTTTGCCTAAACATACTTTATGTAACAATAAAAGACAAAAAAAAAACAACAACAACTACAACACTGAGAGAGAATCAGGTAGTGGTCCAATTTAAACACAACATATTATATATAAAAAATAGTAATAAATTTGCCTAAACAATGTAATAACTTTATATTGAATGCAAAGGGTAATCCTACAGCATTTTTATTATATTTTAACTGATTTGTTAATTAACTAATGGGGGTCTAGGGTAAAAATAACTGAAAATAAAATCAAGAAATGATATTCTAACATATTTGTCATTAAATCAAAGTATCTGACACACGGATGACATATTAAATTCCCTTTAAATTCATTTTGATATTCACAGTTTGTTTTTTACTAATTATACAGTAAGAAGAGTATAATATACAGTAGGTGAATTCTGTTTATGAAATTAAATCAAATGAATTAGAGATATATTAAATAGAGTCAGTGTCTGCCCTAATATAGAAAAGTGCAAACACATTCATACAAATTCCACAAAATGCTCATGCATTTGCATTGAGCACATCTACTATACCAGATTTGTATGAGGGCCACAGGGTTGAACCGGTTAGAGCTCTTATAAGAATTTCAATGTTACACTAGTATTGATCTCACCTCACAGTGGTGAAACATGAGGATTTCTGCTTTAGTGGATGTTGTTTTGTTAATGAAGATTATGCTAGAAACATGTTAACATTGGAATTCACTGGTCTATATTACCAAAATGCACTGTATAATGTGTGGTGCATATTAATATTTTCTGTTATGGTAATGAGGGTTTTTCAGTTTTTAGGGGGTAAAGAACTACACAGCCCAAATACAATGTTAGCTAGCAGTCAATTTGATTGTAAAATGGTTTGATTGTAAATTAAATTTCTCTGTACATGTGTTTTAATGACATCCAGCAACCATACCGGTCAAAAGTTTGGAAACATGTATTTGAAAGAAGTCTCTTGCTCATCAAGTCTGCATTTATTTGATCAAAAATACAGAAAAAAAACCTGTAATGTTGTGAAATATTATTACAATTTAAACTAATGGTTTTTGCTTGAATATACTTTAAAATATAATTTATTTCTGTGATGCAAAGCTGAATTTTCTGCACCATTATTTCAGTGTTCAGTGTCACATTCAGAAATCATTCTAATATGCTGCTTAATATTTTTTTTAAACCTGTGATACTTTTTCAGAAGTTAAAAAGAACAGCCTTTATTTAAAATAGCAATCTTGTTAAACAATATAAATCTTTAAATCTATAAAAACTTTTTACTCATCAAAGAATCATGAAAAAAAATCACAGGTTATAAAAAAAATATTAAGCAGCACAACTGTTTCCAACATTGATAATAAATCATCATATTAGAATAATTTCTGAGGGATCATGTGACACTGAAGACTGGAGAAATGATTCTAAAAATTCAGCTTTGACATCAGATGAATAAACTATATTTTAAAATATCTTCAAATAGAAAACCATTATTTTAAAGTGTAATAAATCTTTTTTTCTGTATGTTTGATCAAATAAATTCAGCATAAGATACTTATTTCAAAAACATAAAAAATAGTAAAGTGTTAAAACTTTTGACTGGTACTGTATAGCTAGCTCATCATCCTGAAGATGTAACTGGAATGGAAAGGCTACAGAAGTTGCACTGCTCGCGCAAAGAGCGCGTAAAGTTGTGCGTAAAAGTTGCATTTTGAAGCTTTATACAGTCATTTACAAGAACATCACATTGCACTAACCTCCTTTTGTATTCGTCTCTCTCCCTCTTTACCTTGGCGAGCACATTATACAGGGCCCGAATCTCTGGGGTGATGGTGTCAATCTGGACACCCACCCCGTCCGGAGGCACCCATGACGACACACCTGTACCCGAGAACCGCGACTCACGCCCGGTGCTGAACCTCGCATTATAAGACCACCCAGAGCCAGGGTGAAATCTGGGTGGAAGATTGCTGGTACAACCAATCCCGGTACTCACATACTTCCCGTTAATGTTGCTGGTGATTTTTGGAGCAGGATCAATCGGGCTGATGGGGAAATTTGGGGTGAGATTGAAATTAGAGTCTGTCAGATTGGATGGGTTTAAGTTTTCAACTGTTGTCCCGTTATTGGACTCGAAAGGGAGGGTGGTGTTATTGAAAGCAGGTGACAACAATGTTCCGGACAGATATGCGGTGTCGTTCGCGTTCTGAATGGGTATCAGATCTGGCCTAGTAGGAACCAATCCAACGAAGCAGGTTTGAATCCCAACATCTCGCGTTAAAGCCTTTCTATTTTCTGCACACTCTGCATTGTCATCCAAAGCCTGTTGCAGTTGCTTTTCTAACACATTATTCCGACGTTCCAGTTCATGCACTTTGGCTAAAAAGCAGCGGAAACGCAAGTTTAGAGTTTTAAGGACGCTGATGTTGGATCCCAGGTCGTTACGCAGGGCCGTCGCGGCTGGAGGAGGTGGAGACACCCGGTGAAGATAGTTACCCAGGTGTAGATACGGTGTCCCGAGAGGTGGTAAAGCGCCCAGGTCAAACCCATCTTGCCCGAAGCCACCACCCGTGTGTTCGCTCAAGAAAAGGCCCGCTGGATCGGTCCAGTGGCCCGATGACGCCGAGTCCGCGAAGCCCGTCACCTGGTTCTGTTGGAACGAATACACGTTCTCCCCTAATACAGGATTCATTCTGGTGTGAGAAAATCTAAAATGCTCAAAGTCCGGCATGAACACTGATTTAACTGTGTGCCTTCAAAGCTGATCCTCTGAAGTTAATAAACTGAAGGAGCACTTGAGGAGCACAAATGAATGAATCCGATCAAACTGAAGCCTTTAAATTATATGGCGGTCTTTTAATGTGACACAAGGACGCGTTGCGCGTATTTGCATGCTATTTGTTATGCCAATACCTTACAGACGTGGTTGTATTCTTAGAGAGGATTAAACGCGTATTCATAGCGGAACAGCCAGGCTCCAGAGCAGAGATAAACAAGAGAAGCAACTGCGGCTCCTTCTTACCGTGATTAGATAATATAAGCGCCTCACTCGCGCGAATCGTGACAGTTTGTCAAGTTTTGCTGACTTCAAGGTGTATAGTTTAATTGATGCTGTAAAATAAGACATTTCACGTCAGGAATTGCTTCTTTATATTTCATTGTCCAATATTTAAGCTCACAATTTTAAATGTGCGTTTGTTTGTTTCTGGGATTTACGGTAGCGAAAGTGCACCCTTCACGTCACCGACTCTGATTGGAAACAATGTGATACAAATTGTGACGGTGAGCGTGCAGCATCCGAACCAAACAGTATGCCTATTATTTTTACGGATTTTTTTGGTTTGCTAATTTTTACAGTAGCCTATAGCCTAAGTCAAAGCAGTGTTCAATCTAGGCCTACTTAACAACAACAACAACTTCTTTGCATTTATGAATATGACATTCCGACAATAAAAAGGGTTGTCTTCAACTATAAACACTTTCGGCAATGTGGACCTTTAGAAAAGTAAAAAGAAATGTTCAGAATTCAGAAATAGCTGTCTTCAAACACTTTTTATCTGAATGTTTCCACCACAATGTTATTTCCACAACATGTCGAATTATAGCAGTATTATGTTGAACAAAATAGCGAATCTTAGCTATAATTAGGCTACGTAATAGCCTAACCTGCACAATATTTTCTCACACGTTCTATAGTTTGTGAAAATTAAAGTTGATTTGAAAGTTTTTACCTTAACTCTTTTCATATTTCATCTCACTGACACTTTTGCCAGTAACTAGCACTAACTTTTGAGAGAAACATTTACTGTTATAGAATATGTTCATAGTATAAAAGTGAAACTCTTTTAGGGTATAAAATCTGGGTTTGGGATCAGGGTATGTATGTTTAATATAAATATAAATCTATGATTTACAGCAATGGTCTTGGGTATAAAGTCATTCTACGCAGTAAAAAAAGTCCTCCAAATATAATTTTAAAACAGAATACATCCAATGAATCTGTTTCACATTTAATATTATTAGTAAGTAGACTGTAAAGCTTTATTCAACACTGTTTACAAAGAATTTTATAGGACAAGCAGGACTCAAAAAGCACAAACAGAGGACTTCATTGTAAACTGCACCCCCAATAGACATGTATGACTGTTTAATGCCATTTGACTAAGTTGCTCAAATGATTAATGTGATACATATATTGTGAAAATTTTTCTTCAATGGTTAATTTTCACAGAGGCCATAGGACAAACACACCAAATATATTAAGCTGTTAAAACTAAAATTTTGTGTATCATCCTCAAGATGGATATGATAATGAGGGTGAGCTTGCAGTGTACATGAATGAGTTCAGTGATCAGTTGACGTAACTTACAAAAAGTGAGGAAAACTGTTGCCTTAATATTATTAAGTAGTAAAACCAAATTGTCAAGTTCACATATCTTAATTTTTTTAAATTATGAATATTACTAAATAATTTTAACTCAATGCCCCCCTTTTTTTTAAGTTAAGTCAACTGATCAATTTTTCCACTTTTCCAGTCACTCCAGCATGACTCAGTGGATGTGATGGGCCTGTCTATTTACAGTATAGGCTATATGCTGGTCAACATTTTTGGAATAATTAAGATTTTAAGTCTTTTATGCTCACCAAAGCTGCATTTATTTGATAAAATACAGTCAAAACAGTAACATTGTGAAATAAAATTATGACTGTTTTCTATTTTAATACATATATAGGCCTATGTTTTAATGTATTCCTATGATGGCAAAGCTGAATTTTTAGCATCATTATATTATTAGTGTCACATGATCCTTCAGAAATCATTTTAATATGCAGATTTGCTGCTCAGTTATGATCGGTTACTTTTTTAGTGCTCAGTTATTAATGCTGGTTCTTACTATTAGTTAGGTTTTTGATGCGTTATATATTTTTGGAAACCTTGATAATATTTTTACGGGATTTTTTGATGAATAGAAAGTTCAATGAAAACATTTATTTGAATAACAATCTTTTTGTAACATTATAAATTTCTTTACTGCCACTTTTGATTCATTTTAATACTTTAATGATTTCTTTCTTTCTACATAGTTTTCATGATATAAATGCCTTGGTGAGGATAAAAAAGACTTAAAAAAAAAAAAACATAACTATTCCATACTTTTGTTAGCTGGAGCACATCATAAATTTTCTTCTGAAGAAAGTTCTTCCATTAATTTCCATTTGCATATTATTTATTTATGTCCACATATACTCATTGAGCTCTGCATGACTTTGCCCAAAGCCTGTCTGGCATATTGCTCATCCCCAAAGCACAATGAATAAGAAATGCACTGGCACTGCTGTTTTTTTGTTTTTATGTCCAGCACATTTCCTTACGGAAGTTCAGCGTGTCTAATATGCATGGAGTCAGTGAACGTTTTTAAAGACTTTCTGAAACCTACACCATTTTAACTGTGTACATGCAGAAATTCATTTAGTTAGTTCTAGTTAAAATAATGGCCGAATATTAGGCTATGTGTAGCAGTTAATAATAACAATGCAATCCCCCTAGAGTGTCACTAGGCGGCAACAACAGCTAATGACGCTCTCTGCAGGCAGCCGCACCCATTAAAGTTGCATTAGCTCTTCATGCAATGCATTTCCAAATTTTGTATTATATTTGTTTTACTTTCAGTAATTGTGTTAACAAAACGATTTACAATAAGGTCTTAAGTCTTTAGAGGCACTTTAGCAGCACCAGGACCACAAGCATCACTGCAGCATTGCACAACGTGGATCTCTTACAAGTCATAGGAAGCATCTAGCGGTTTGTATGAGAATTGCAATGCAGTATTACACTATCGTGGACTTACATTTACTGTACAATGTCTCTAGATATTTCAAAGGCTATGCCACCATATTCTATCTAACCCTTTAAATGTACTGTCGTTTTTACTTTAAAAGAAATGAATAACTTGAACAAAAATGACACTGAACGTTTATAATGTTCCAAAAGATTTATATTTAAAAAAAATATGCTGTTCTTTTAATAATCTTTCTATTTATTAAAGAACCTATGTATCTCAGTTTCCACAAAAATGTTAAGCAGCACAAATGTTTTCAACATTGATAATAATAGGAAATGTTGTTACTTAACACCAAATCAGTATGTGAAAATGATTTCTAAAGGATCATGTGATGCTGAAGACTGGAGTAATTATGCTGAAAATTTTGCTTTGCTATCAGATGAATAAATTAAATTTTAAAATATACTAAAAAAAGATATTTTAAATTGTTGTAATATTTCACAATATTACTGTTTTTATGGTATTTTCCATCAAATAGTCTCGAAACGTATTAAAAAAATTAAACAATCTTACTGACCCCAAAATGTACATACAAAAATATTGTTAAATTATATTATTATATATTTAAATGAGCTTATTAAATGGTGAGTTTACTTGAAATATTTTACACTACGGTCATGACACTTTTCTGACCATAACATAAAAAAAAGCCAGAAAGAATGAAATAACGACCAACAGACACAATGACGCTTTCAGAATCAGGCATTGTTCATTCAGCATGGAAGACACCAGACCCATTATCTGACATTAGTACAGTACTCTAGAATATCAGGAACAATCAAATCACAAAGCAACGTCACAAAGGCAATAAACACATGACACAAACCCTTCATCGTACACCAGACAATATAATAGAACCGGCAAAGCACACAGTGTAGCACCAGGTTTTGAAAGTGTTTGCATTGTCTGACACACCTGTAATTGCTTTATTAAAACAACCAAATCTTACGTAAAGTCGATATATCGGCACATTTGATTCTGACGTCTCGCAAAAAGTATCATACTGCTTTAACAACGTCGACACAACGACTGAGAACCATTGTAAGCTGTACTGTGTACTTCACGCATTTAACCAAACCAAACACATCATCTTTAATATATTCATAAGCACCAAAATCCAGTCGCAAAGAACCCAGCCGCTAAACTCGCAGCAATACTAGAGTTAATTCATAGGTTACAAAAAAAAAAAAAAAAACGCATTTAATGACCAGGTGTTCAATTGAACATTACATGCTGTGTTAATGCTTTTCAACAGTCTGGAATACGACCGAGTTAATCCGATCGAAGTAGTGTGTGACCAAAAGCACCAAAAAATGTCTGCATTGAAACCTACAGTTGTGGAATGGACCTGAAGAGAAGAGTTGGTCTTCAAGTGCAGGATTTGTGAATGTAAGACAAAGACACAATAGAGGAAAGAATCTGTACTGAGTGTGAGTAAAAGTCAAGTTAAATGATCCCAGTGAGCAGCTATTTATTTTAATTTATTTAATTTTTTTTGTCATATAAACTCTTGCCCTTTTGTGAATATCGAAAGGAGAAAATAAGTTAGGTAAGGGATCGGTTTCAAGCCCGTTCTGGGACCTGTTCCACTTTTTAAAAGGCAAAAACTGAGACTAGTAGGAAATGATCCCATATTAGAAACCATCTGAGAAGGATACTGACAGCAATTATCCAGTCTGGAGTTAAAACCGTCAAAAAGAACTGAGGGATCAAGTGTTGATACGCTCCCTGACTGTCGAGTTCATGTGTTTAAAAGTAGCTTTAAAAAAACAATTCAAATAAACAAACCGAAAATATAAGAACCAAAACAAAATCCAAAATACTCTATAACAAAAGTCATCTTCATTATTGAATACATAAATTAAAACCTACGCCTCCTTCATCTTCACCCGTCATCCCTTCTTACTGTCTGGCTGAGAGAGAGAGAGGGATGTGAAGAAGGAAAAGAGGATGACAAGCACCAGATTAAGCAGAGATTGGATCTATATTAGTGTCTATGGAGGGCCTTAAAAACACTTTCAACCCTTGCATCTGCCTCTACCTCCCTCTCTGTGAATTCTTTTGTTTTGCATGTTCATTTTTTCTTCCGTTCCTGTGAACATCTTGGGCAGTACCTAATGAAGAAGAAAAATGAGGTAAAAGTTGAAATTTACCAATGTATTCACTAGTGCTGTCAAATTGATTAATCGCGATTAATCGATTCTAAAATGAAAGTTAATGGAATATATGTGTGTGTGTACACAAAATATACATATAATAATATATATATACACATATATTAGGCTATATAAACACAAACTTTTATTTTAGAATCGATTAATCGATTTGACAGCACTAATATTCACTAAAACCGCTATTCAATATTGTTTTATTCTGTGAGTTACTTCAGACTAAAATGTCTATTTCTACACTAATGTACGGCAAAATTGAATTGCATCAGTTTCAAGGGCAAAAATCGCATGACTACTAACCATTTCCCCCTGGGCTTGGTGGTCAGACCCACACAGGCAAAGTGGAACCACTCGATAGAACACTAAAGAAAGAGACACACATATTTAAAGGAGTAGTTCACTTTAAAAAAAAAAAACTTTTGCTGATAATTTACTCACCCAAATTTTCAAATTTACTCATCAAAATGAACTAATCTTTGAATAAACCAAATGACTCGAAAAAAGATTCGTTGATTTTGATTAACGAGTTTGAACAGGTGAGTCACGAACGCGCATCACAGAACAGAGCAAGGCGACCATTTGAGCTTATAAAACAAACTTTGTTATTTTTTTTTTTTAATGAGCGATCGTTTCGCTTGATAAGAACCTTATTCATTGTCTGGAATCGTTTAAAGCCCTTTGAACAGTTCGCAATTTGCACAGATTATTGGAATGAAGTTCAGGACACACTACAGGGCTCCAGACAAAAAAAAAAAAATATATTAATGAGCCATTGGCTCCTAAAAGTAAAAAAAAAGTGGAACATAAGAATAAACATGCTTTAATATTTAAACAATTTAATTTCAGTCATTTTGTCACGTTTGCAACGGCTTTTCCAACTTGAGAACTATATACAGTCATAAATAGTTGTTCTTTACACAGAATCTGATCCAGTTTCAGGGACAATAATTAGCATCACTTGGCCATTGAGTGTAGTTTGGCCTCCTTCTCAATGCATAAGAGTTTTCATACAGTATTTCTTGCACACACCCAGTCTATTTCTCTTTAATAGTAATATCTGAGATGTAAATTTGGTGCTTTTCACATTCAAATAGGCGAGGTGAGGTGCATGTATTTAATGACTAATGAGTTTATGCACATTTAAAGGCTAATGTAAAGTAAGTTATGTGACATATTGTTCTTACAGAGATTTTATTGACATCTTTTCATGGTTGAAACACTGAGCTATTGCATGACACATTTGTTGTAATGTTTTTATACAACAAGTTGTACTGTGTCGTTCAACACACCTTCTGATGTTTATTCATGTTGATTTCGTGCTTTTGTGTTTATAAATGTTTATTGTATAACTAGAAGTAAAGAAGAGATGATCGGTTCATGCCCCGCTTGAGGTGCTACAGTCACGGCACATTAATTTAAAAATTTAAATTTAAGAATTTAAAAACTGAGATATTGTTTATTAAAAGTGGCAAACATATTAAAAGTAACAAACCATGAAGCTTAGTGTGATTATTGGATGGTACGTGCGCTACAGAAAACAGCATAGACTAAAATATCTTGAGAATAAGAATTGCTGAAGCTGATACTCGCTTTCCTCGTGCGTATTTTGGCCATCAAACTCAGTGTTTTATTCCCACTGAAACATTGATACTCATCATCTCATTTGTTATGTCAATACAACAAAAGATGTGATAGGCTACTCATCAGAGAATACGCAGGTAAGAAAAGGCATTACATGCCACTTTTTAAATCATAACGTGTAAATTTATCTTGTTGCCGATACTCCGATAGTGTTCTGAGCAACAATATAACATAATATTATAAAGATCAATATAATCATATTTTTGCGCAGTCTGGAGCCCTGGTACATGACTAGGTATCTCCATTTTAACTCTTAATGGGGAAATAAATATTTAAAAAAATAATTTAGAATAAATATCTATATGTAAGCAAAAAGATATGTGTGGCTGTGAGCGTGTTGGCCTCTGTCACAGTGCATGAGGAAGGAAACTCACGTCTGTATTGTCACAGCCAATCATCTCTCCGTATGAAACCTGGTGGCAGAGACAATAGGTGGGCTCGTTGGGGTCCACTGGCATGTCCAACACATCCGAGGGGTGCACGTTCCCAAAGTTCACAGCCGGGGTTGAAAACTCAGAGCTGGAATTTAAAAGGAACTAGTAAATCGGAGTTCCATCTTAATCCAATTTTATTATTTCCCCCCCCTTTTACACTGACAGAAACAGTTAGAAAGGCAAAAGTAAATGCTGCTTACCAGGCTGTAGGGCAAACTGCTAACGCTTTGGTATTTCTAAACATTAAAAATGTATTTTAAAACAACTTCTTAGATATTTATGTACATGTTGGGAGGCTCCAGCTCCCCTCTCGTTTGATCCATTCAACATCACAGTCTATGACTTACAGTCTAAACAAATCTCTATTAAAATATATCCTGTCTGTGGCACATACACTACCATTCAAAAGTTTGGGGTCTGTAAGATTAAAAAAAAAAAAAAAGTTTTTAAAAGAAGTCTCTTATGCTCACCAAGGCTGCATTTATTTGAAACCCAAAAATACAGTAAAAACAGTCATATTTTGAAATATTATTACAACTGTTTTAACTGTAACTGGTCATTTATTCCTGTGATGCAAAGCTGAACTTTCAGTATCATTACTCCAGTCATTAGTGACACATGATCCTTCAGAAACAATTATAATATGCTGATATGGTGCTCAAGAAACATTTCTTATTGTCATTGTTGAAGACATTAATTGTGTAGCTTAATATTTTGATGGAAACAGTGATTCTCCGACAAATAAAAGTTCTAAGGAAGTGCATTTATTTGAAAACGAAATCTGTTAAAGGCTTTACTGTCACTTTTGATCAATTTAACTGTCCTTAAAAGTATTAATTCCTTAAACAAAAAAAACAGAACAAAACAAAACATTTGAATGGTAGTATTTATATACTAAGTGTACAAAGCAGAAATATTTAATTAAAAATACAAACCAGTTTAAAAAAGAATGTTTCTACAATTCTGTTTGATGTCACAAGTGGCACAAAAACGACACACTTTACCTATAAAAACAGAAATATCGTAAAAAAAATGTATGTGATTCTCACCCTTGTGTGAGTTTGACCTTCTTCTGTCCGCTCTTGGAGCTGCAATCATCATCAGAGTTCTTCACCTTTGACCTAGTGCGAGTCACCTCCTTCTTCTTGGGTCCTCGATGATCGCCTTCAAAAAATAAACCATCAGAAACACTGTTGATGCATGAAATTCAAGTATGAGATGTGCATGTGTTAGAACAGCACTAATAGACATAAGTACCTATGTTGCACTCACTCTTGTTGCCCTTGCTAGAGGTAGAGTCATAATCGGTGCTTTCTATCTGTTTCTCCTTGAGGTCAGCCTCAAAGCGAGCCAGGTCTGTATCCAACCTTCGGATATGCTTGTCCACCTAAAAGCATAGAATAAATAAAGTGTGATCCACCATATGGAGTTATAAAGCAACTAAATGTACATTAGATACATTTAACAATACATATAATATTCACTATCATTGAAAAGTTTGTGTTGATACCATCTTTTTAATGTTTTTGATAGTAGTCTCTTATGCTCACCAAGGCTGCTTTTATTTGATCTAAATATTGTGAAATATTATCATAATTTAAAATAACGTTTATAACATGAAATTTGCACTTGAAATAACAGTTCATTAGCAATGAGCTAAATTCACACTAACCATCTCATAGGTTTGCATCGCAAGCTGGACCTTGTCATCGCCAAACTCCTTGCACTTCCCATAAGACTGCTGAATTTGTCTTAACAGGGAGAGCTTCTGTTCGGAGGACAATGTCCGAGCGTTAGCTGTGTATTCACGAGCCAGAGAATCAATCTGTCCTTTTAGATCTACAGAAAGAAGAAATGTAACTTTATTAGAAGATGCCCCTATTACAGTGTAATGTTTCAAATGGTTTCACAGTAATTATAAAAATAATTACAGAGTAATATTAATAAACAATGTGCATTTAGGTTTGGTTAAGTTGATTAAAATAAAGCAATTTGCTGTTATGGAATTATGTAACTTACTTTAAGTACTGTAATAAGTCGGCTACATGTTAGATGAGGAACGGACACTAAAATGACCACTTTAGAAGAGATGTACTATTCCACATATTAAGTCACGCAATAAAAACATGTAATATTGATATAAAGATATTTTTCTATATTACTGTATTGATTTAGAGGCAGGTCTACAGTGTAGACTCACCCTCTGTCCTCTGGTCCAGATCTCGCATCAGCTGGAAGTTCCTCTGCAGTTCAAAGGGCAAATTTTCTATGCCTAAACAAATCAAGTGACATATGAATCTTCTACACAAATAGCAGGCAATATGTCCATAAGGTCCTAGCACAACAGTAAACGATCTCTATCTGTCATGTTGCGAGTAGCGAACTCGATTGTGCTGGAACACTGCATTTAATGCTTGACACTGAGCTTTAATGTTCCCAGGTATTTAACGTCATTTACATCATTTAAACGTTTTAACAGCAGTAACGTTGTCACATTTATCGGCACAGCACCCACCAAACAAATGTACAAAACCAAAATTCACATCATAACACTGTTTAAAACCGTTAGCCCGTTAGCTTCAGAACCAAATAGCCGTAAACGTTCCTGTCTAAATAGCGCTGTTTTGTGTCGTTGCGCGCTCTTTTTTGCAAATAGTATATGTATATGAAACGTGCAGACATGCTGGACACTGCGAACACGAAATATGTTTATTTATGGGGATGAATGTCGAAACAAAGACGATAGTCTTACTGTCCAAATAGTGCTCCAGATACATTCCAGCCGCCATCTTGACATACACAAACAAAGGTTCTTCCGGTATTACCGGAAGTCTATGGAAAATCTGGTTGGGGGGCTGGGGGCTAATGTTTAGGGGGTGTCTGTAGTAGACCCCTTTCATCTACTTGAAAGTAGGTTGAAACAGAATGACAAAACTCCTCTTTATGTTCAGAGATATGTTATCTATGGCAAATAGGCCTGTACTAGAAATAGATTTAGATTTTTTTTTTCATTTAGATTTTTTTTAGGCTATGAGATAGGACTAACCCTTTGATTTGATAAAAGACTATGCTCAATTTCATCTGAATATCAACATTTGTGAGATTTAGTCAGAGACTGTGTTAGCCTACTAAAATCTAGGCTACAACCCTAGTTCCAGAATGAGGTTGGGACATAGGCTACAATGCAATAAAATCAAGAATCTGTGATTTGTTCATTCTCTTTAACCTATATTTAGGCTAACTGAAAAAAAGCACAAAGGAAAGATTTCTAATGGTTTCACTGACCAACAAAATTTTGTAAATATGAACAAATTTTGATTTTGATGGCTGCAACATACTCCAAAAAAAGTTGGAACAGAGGTCAACCACTAGTCTCAGCTTCAGATGTCATGCCCAAGGATCGTTGGCTAAATGTATGATGCATATACAAAATTGAAAACACTTCAGGAGTTTCAAAGTCATCTTCTGATTGGTTGAATTCCACAGGATTTTCCGGGACACGTGCGTGTGACCCATTTTTAAACAATCAGCCTGGAAACAAAGATGCCGTGACGCCAAAAACCCTCATGGAAGAAGAAAGCCGTAGTATTTACAACAGCGATAATGAGTGCCTATCATGATCAACAAAACGCTGTATTTTCAAAACTGTGTGAAGTAGGCTATATAAAGTTTGTGGCATAGACGTCCAAGAGTTTGACACACTGGTCTGTTATTGCTTATTGTAGAGACATCAACGTTACATTTTCACACCCCAAACTTGTCGCAGAACAAAATGAACTGTGTCATGAATATTTTTTCGTGACCTCAACTACAGTGGTACTAATTGAATTTGTCATTAAAATGTTATGGCTTCATGACAGCCAATGTCAAAACCAACCACATGACAGTTTAATGTAATTTTAACCAATAAAGCTAGGTGGTTTCTTAAGGTTGATAATCAATCTTCAATGTCATGTTTATGACAGGTTGTGTTGTCTAGTAATGTCAAGTTTTTTATGACAAAGATATTGACAGGTTATGATGTATTGGTTTATGTCAAGGTGTACATAACAAAGACATCTCAAACTATGTCATATTTGCATTAAAAATGTCACAACTGAGCGAATGTCGCTTAATGACAGTTGTCACAAACATGCATAAAACTTCCTTCATATTCATAACCTATGTCATGTCATGATTATGAAGGTGTCATGTTAGTCTTTTGCACACCCCTTCAAGTAAAGTGTTACCAAAGTTTTTTTGTTTTTGAAGAGAAATAATAAAAAAATAAATAAAATAGACGCATGTCTCGACTCCGAATTGAAGGCACAGAGTGGCATGTTTCTATTGTTATTATTGTTTTATCTAATATTTATTATAATTCTTGGGGTTATTATTATTCAACAATTGCATGAGTTAGATCACATTCATTTGCTATTAATTAAAACCTATAGTCTAGTTGAGTGAAATCAGTCAGTTTAATTTAACTACTCAACTAGCGCTATTATGATATATTGTATTCTTCAATTAAAATATGGGCAATTAAATAATTATGCCCATAAGAACACATTTACCATTCAGATTCATCTATTTTACTGCTGCTTTTTCTGTCATTGTTCAATTATTCAGGCCAGGGGCCATCTCAAATTTTGTAACATTTTAAACATGTTACAATTTCGAAGTACTTTCACATTGTCGTTAAGGGGAGCATCTTTCCTCATATTTCCCAACTGTATGGTCATGTGACAACATTTAGCATACTGCTATACAGTAAAATAGTATCACATTGTAGGCTAAAAAAAATAGATGCAGTATACAGTTTACATTGCACAGTATGCACTAACTAAGCAGTATTCTATATTCCAATCTGAACACAGCCCGAGCTATATCAAAAGTGTCGAAAAATTTACTGGGTTCAGGACATTTTTATGTCACACATTACTCTAATGGGTCCCCCATAGGGCCAGATTGTAGCATAATAGTCCCTATTGGCCTTAAAATGGATTTTCATGGCATGCAGTGTGTAGTTTTCACCAGAAGAGGGCAATGGTCAATAGTCTACGAACTGTTTAGCAAGAAAACCTGGAGATTGAGCTCCAGGGAGTGTGGTGGTTATATAGCCAGATTCTCCCAGTACAGTCATTATCCCAATAAACACATAACAGAAGTGAATCTGACAGCAAGACTACAGTACAGCAGTTATGATTTGAGATTGTGTTTGTGCAGTATGGAGAGGATACTCAATCTCATTTAAGCAAGGGCTGGCACAATACGTCACCTCACAGGACTGCCAAAAGAACATCATTTCTGCTGCTTTCCCAATCGAGATGCATGTCTAAACAGGCTTGCTCTTTATTTTCAAATTGCTTGGCCTTGTATTCGCATATACTGTATATTCAAGACTTTGTCTGGTAAGCATGCCACTGCGAATCAGCTGCTGCTGAATCATTATTTTTTGAAATAGCAGTAGATGAACCGTAATTAAGATCTGGCGAGATTATCACTTGCAAAGTACAATTTAAAAGCCGTTATTTGCATGCTGATTTCTTTTTGCTTTTTCTTTTCTTAAAGCACTTTCCATTTTTAAAAGCACTTTAGCAGGCGCAGAATAAATGTCGGTTCAGATAAAGCAGCTCACAAAGTTTCTTCTAGCTGTGACTGGTGGTATAATTTTGCTTTTCTAACACCCACGTATCATATAAAGTATTAAGGGAAGACTCTGTTTAGCGGGTGTTGTCAGTGGTCTCCCTGAAGGAGAAATTACTGTGGCAATGCTAATAAGCATTTATGCTCCCTTGAGCAAATTAAGAAGGGAGAAGACAAGCACTCTTTCCTAGACAGAGTAGTATTCGCAATGCCCCTGGCACTCATTTAGGGTAGCATGCCATCATATTATTTCAGTGACTTTATTTCCACCGTTATTACTTCTTGAGACTATCAGGGGACACGAAACATTGGTTACGAGAAATACTTTACATTGTGAATGTTTTTTTCCTCTTGAGTTGGCAGATCTACAAGTTGATCATGAGCTGAATTGTGAAATGTGCTGCTAGACACTCACCTAAAGGATTAGGAACACTAAACTAATACTGTGTTTGACCCCCTTTCGCCTTCAGAACTGCCTTAATTCTACGTGGCATTGATTCAACAAGGTGCTGAAAGCATTCTTTAGAAATGTTGGCCCATATTGATAAGATAGCATCTTGCAGTTGATGGAGATTTGTGGGATGCACATCCAGGGCACGAAGCTCCCGTTCCACCACATCCCAAAGATCCTCTATTGGGTTGAGATCTGGTGACTGTGGGGGCCATTTTAGTACAGTGAACTCATTGTGATGTTCAAGAAACCAATTTGAAATGATTCAAGCTTTGTGACCTGGTACATTATCCTGCTGGAAGTAGCCATCAGAGGATGGGTACATTTAAACAATGCCCAATTGGCACTAAGGGGCCCAAAGTGTGCCAAGAAAACATCCCTCACACCATTACACCACCATCACCAGCCTGCACAGTGGTAACAAGGCATAACGGATCCATGTTCTCATTCTGTTTACGCCAAATTTTAAATCTACCATATGAATGTCTCAACAGAAATCGAGACTCGTCAGACCAGGCAACATTTTTCCAGTCTTCAACTGTCCAATTTTGGTGAGCTCTTGCAAATTGTAGCCTCTTTTTCTTATTTGTAGTGGAGATGAGTGATACCCGGTGGGGTCTTCTGCTGTTGTAGCCCATCCGCCTCAAGGTTGTGCGTGTTGTGGGTTCACAAATGCTTTGCTGCATACCTCGGTTATAACAAGTGGTTATTTCTGTCAGTTGCTCTTCTATCAGCTTGAATCAGTCGGCCCATTCTCCTCTGACTTCTAGCATCAACAAGGCATTTTCACCCACAGGACTGCCGCATACTGGATGTTTTTCCCTTTTCACGCCATTCTTTGTAAACCCTAGAAATGGTTGTGCGTGAAATTCCCAGTAACTGAGCAGATTGTTAGAATACTCAGACCGACCCGTCTGGCACTAACAACCATGCCACGCTCAAAATTGCTTAAGTCCCCTTTCTTTCCCATTCTGACATTCAATTTGGAGTTCAGGAGATTGTCTTGACCAGGACCACACCCCTAAATGCATTGAAGCAACTGCCATGTGATTGGTTGATTAGATAATTGCATTAATGAGAAATTAGGTGTTCCTAATAATCCTTTAGGTGAGTGTATGTACAAAGTATTCCAAACAACTCAAGTATAAATAACATTAGTAGGTCAGATATATTAAAATAATACTTTTTAGTCTGATGTTAAAAATTTGCTCACAGATGCAGCCATTTTACTCCCATTGTTTTTATATTATATTATATTACTATACTCACCACCTGTGCAATTGCTCATTACAGTAACACAATAAGAAATAGTCAAGACTGAGCATCAGAATGGAGAAGGAAGGTCATTTATGTGTCTTTGAAGGCAGCACAGTTGTTGGTGCCAGACAGGGTGGTCTGAGTATTTCAGAAACTGTTGATCTACTGGGATTTTCACACATATTTTTTTTAAACCATCTCTAGAGAACGTTCCGAAAATGAGAAAATATCCATTGAGTGGTAGGTCTGTTGGCAAAAATGCTTGGTTGATGCCAGAGGTCAGAGGAGAATGACCAGACTGGATCGAGCTGATGGAAAGGCAACAGTAACTCAGCAACCAGTCGTTACAACCGAGATCTTCAAAAGAGCATCTCTAAATGCACAATACGTCGAACAATGAAGCAGATGTGCTACAATAGCAGAAGAACACACCAGGTGCCACTCCTGTCAGCTAAGAACAGCAAACTGAGGCTACAATTCACACACACTCACCAAAATTGGACAAGAAGATTGTAAAAACGTTA